CAACGACGTCGCAATCACTCACGCGATAATTATTTCCGTTTTTTTCCCATCTTCCCTCTCTCTCTCTCTCTCTCTGTCTCCTTTTTCTAGAATTTACGTGCGTTTAACCGCATTCGCATGATAGTAAGACGGGAAATGACAAGTGAGCCGCATCGCGGTAGACTCAAACCGGAAGTCATATATACGATACACGCGCGTGCTTGCGCGACATGCATAATTACACGACGAATGTGCGTATAGCGACATATGCGGGCATACCTTCAGAAATAATGAAATTGATACGTGAGATTGTTGCATACGAACGCCTGACGTTCCTTGGTCTCTTCTGTTTTACGCACTTACACGAGGTATATTAGCGAGAATCGCCGGATATCCGTACACGAATAAAGTTAAGAAAGACAACGGCCGTTCTCTTTGTTACATAGGATCGAAAATTGTATGCCAAATGTCATTCATCGAGTCCCTCTGCATATATGCGTTTCACGTTTCGATATACGTAGTGCATTGATTGAAAGGAAAAATACCGAAGCATCGTCGTTTCGTTCGCTTAATCTTCCGATCACTATCGCTTATAAACACGATAACGCATAGACGATATACCGTATTGTACATATATATATACGTGTAGCAAAAAAAAATAGTGATTTCGCAATATTTCTGCGTGAAGAAACCGCGTATCCTTGTATTATTCCCCATAATGGACAAGCGAAGGATAAACAACAGTTGAAAATGATATTTACAGAGAGATCGTAATCGTTCCTTTCGCAATATATAGGTTGTATTCTCCAATAATTGAATCTTAATTAAATGACATCCATATATGTATGAGAAGCGTTTAAAATTATTATAATTTTTACTCATTCACGCTCTTATCATCTTTTTAAATCTACATGTGACGTTAAATTTAAATTATTCTATTATTTTTCTTCTATTTTTTCCTTCGAAAAATAAAAAAATTGCATAAGGATTAACACGTAATTATATATAAGTGTCAATTTTTTGTAAATATAATTAAATAACAAATATGTAGTATTTTATACATATATACAATTGAAATAAATAATATCACAATATAAGGACGATGTAATATTTCTCGTGTATAAAAATTTCTGACTTTGAATGTGTCAAAATAACAGCAAAATAAATCGATATCATAATCTCGTCTAACTTTATGTAAACTGTGTCTTAATAATTATGAAAAAAACATATATCACGAGTTCAATATTGATAAGATCATCTTATTTGTACGAGAGAGTTTCGTACAATAGACCGTAGCGAACAATTCCTAAGGTCACATAAAAAATCTATAAATACACAAAGCACAGTACAAATATATAAAAACCAGCCGTCTCATCTGTTCGACACGTGAAATTCGAGAATAAATAAAACAGGATACAATTTCGATAGACCATCTATGTAGTTCCAGAAAAGCTATTTGCGATGTGAAAAGCGATGATTTTGTGTGTCTGACACTCATTTCTAAAAATTTTATTTATCATGTAAAATAGACGAAATTTATATATACTCAACATTTATAAATTCTTATAGGAACTCTACATATTAGTGAGAAGAAAATCGATGTTTCGGTTGTATTAAAAAGGAACAGTAAAAAAAACACTTTGATTCTATCGAGAATAAGGCTCGTATTGTTGTTGTTCCACATCAGAGAGAATTCCTTCCCTTTCATTAGCAAAATTATTTAACGAATACTGTTCGTCGACTATAAGTACATATTTACGTTTCTTTGCCATGCAGGAAATTCAAGACTCGTCCGATTCCATGATGTATGTCAGAGTTATTCGGATTAAATATTCATATACATTTGCTGGAGCGCTCAAGAGAGGAACACTGTACCAAAACGCATAACAAGTACGTCTCTGTCTCTATCGCACTCTTACTCGCACTACGACGCAATCGAGCATGTACGTGCGGTCGGGACGGAATGGCGAGAGCGAGAATGCATTTGTTAATGCAACACACACGCACCAATGCACACATGCGCATATATAAGCGGTACTACCAAGCACCAGCGATATTCCGTGCGCGAAGAATAACGCGCGAATTCCCGCTGACACGTGTCAGACGCATCTCCTTACAAGAGAGAATCGATAAAATGTGAAAATAAAACACTTCTGATAGAGAATACTTGAATACTTGTTAAGAATTCCTCATTAATTATAATGGAAACAATTATTGAAATAGTAGCTAATAAGTAAATTGAATATAAATTAATTGATCAAATAATTAATAAGTGCATTGATTGATAAATTGACTTTTCGGGGAAAAAATTGATTTAAATTAATATTAAATCAATAATAAAAATGCAATTATATTTCGATTGCTATTCTTAGGAAAATAAAATTATTAATTAACATCTTATATTTTGAATGTCGAAAAAAAACCAGTGTGAAATCTTATACGAGCAAATAATCGTATAAGTAAAGTAAAAAAATATATTTAAAGAAATATAAAATGCTTTGTTATTAATTTTTAATTAATACAACGAAGTATAAATGCGCAAAACACGTGTCGGATTAAGCTATGATTTATGTATTTTTAATCAAAGAACAGAAACAATAGATGCATTATGGAATTAATTGCTCTTTCAACCACTTAATATTAAATCAATATTGTTTATCGATCACGGTAAATCGGAATAATTAACTGAAATGCGTTTTTTATTAAAGCAGATATATTTAAAAGCATTCTCAGAGAATTCTTTAATTTCTGTTGATTTAAACGAGTTTTTTGACGTATTGACAACTTAATATACGATAAAAATAGAAAGCAGCAATGTTTGAATCATTAAATGAGCTTGCCATTAAGAGTTATCACACGAATCGTTCGATATTTGTCATTGGACTTTAAATAATATATTAAAGCATTAATGATCGAGATCATTCGAACATGTTCCTTTTCACGTTTCCTCTTAAATCCAACACTCGTGAGACTCGCTCGCGTCACACAGAGAAACTCACGTCGGAGGAGAAACCAAAGAGAGTGTTGTGCCTAGTTCTCTCTAAGGTGAGAGTCTCTCTTAACTCGCGCGACAAGCCTTTTATTTACATCGTGCAAGAACGTGCGATCGTTCAGTCTATCCGCGTGATAAAGATGATCCTTCGATTTATCAGCACGAAATGAAGAATACGTGTGAATAACGACGATTGCTATTCAAATGTTTAACTTATATATTGCTGAACATTAATATTATTCAAATCAAAAAATCAATTTATAAATATCTACCCTAGAGTCTAGATGAAAATTTAAATCAAATATAAAGTATGTATATCTACAAAATTGTATTTTTACATTTCTAACTAAAAATAAAAAAGCTTGTACACATTCGATCATATCGAGAATAATCGAAAATCTTTACAATTGACAAGTAAAAAAATTTGGGAAATGTATCGTGCTATAATTTGAATTAAGATATCAATAATGGATATCTTTAATGCATCCAATTGAATCTATTATAAAAGATTATTGATTAAGAAACTGATAAAAAGAAGTGAAAATGCAATAAATTGTAGAGAATTTGCAATTATATGTTATCTATTGATTTTCTCTCTATAAATGTAATGATATATTTCAATAACAATTTTCCGTGAATTATCTTTTAATATTTCATTAGTATTGGTGCGTGCAGTTGAAGTAATACAATAAATTCTCGTAATAATCGGTCATTTCCATGTCCATTTTTTCCGCTCATATGTTTACGTTATCTCGATTTGTAACCTTGTTCCGGTATCTCGTGCGAAATCTCGATTCAAGGAATCGAGCTGCATCGCGATGTCGTTCGCTGCATTCTCGGAAATATCGGAAATGCGAATGTGATGGTTAATGTAGAAAAAAGATTTAATCTAGTAACATACAAAGAAAACCGTCCCGAAATGATACGATCAAGGATTGTAATGTCCTCCTGACGTCACACATGGCGTTATTTTCGATCGTATCTTGTAAATAATTACTGGGGAATGAGCGATCGTTGTCGCACATATCTGATTTATCTTGTTTTGTACTTATAAATGTATAAAAAAAGACAAATAAATTAACGTTCACACACAAAAACATGAACAAAGATGTACGGAATATAGGTAATAAGATGTGATTCGTAATTACATGCAAATCGGGAAATGAATGAATTGAATGGTCTTTTGATTTCAGACAGAAAAAAACACGTAGTGCATTTACATACATATAAATATATCCACAAATTTTACTACTTTGAGAGAAATAAATTATATTAATCGTCAAATGATGTAATAAAATTTATGACAAACTATTGTATCAGAAATGTCATATTAAAATTCATTCTTGAAAAACAATGTTATACTTTGCAGTTTTTAAATTATTAAACAAAGATTGTAGTATATAATGAGTAAACGAAAACAATGAAGAAATGGCGTAAGCAAGTATCAAAAAATCACACACACACAAAGTTATTTATATTATATATATATATATATATATATATATATATATATACATCAGCAAATCGGGGATTGTAAATGCGAACAAATATATTAGACGAAGTCGAACAAAATTTTGTATTTTCTTTCAGAATATATACCCATCTACCTGTGAACATCCGGCTGCGAATTTACTTTGAAAAGGAGCAGGTAGGTGGGATATAAAGCAAGAAAAGGTAAGGGATAAAGAAAAAGATCTCGGAAAAATTTAGGTAGAAAACTGGTACAGAAGCCTGTACCGTGAAATATTCTATAATCACCTATTTTTGAAAAATGGGCAATTTTACTAATTTTTTTAGCAATACAAGATTAAAGCGTGAAAATGTCTGGTTTTTCTATCTATTGTATTTTTGTCCTATTGTGTCACACACACATATAAACATATACAGCTGTAAATATTTATATAATTCCAAAATAATGCACAGAAGCTCGATTTGCTGAGGCGATTTATTCGCGAATATTTTCGCAAATTCGATCAAAATTCCAGGGGAATTTCAACAGCGTAGAAATATGCCAAGATCTGAATCTTACCTTAAAAAGAATCTCGCTGCACTCGAACATGGGAGTACTCATGACGGCAGTCGACATGTTCCTCGATTTTTCCGCACAAAAACACTGTGTGATCTTGATGCTGTTCTTCTGCCCTCTCTTTCTTCCAATCCTTCTTCCTTTTTCTCTCGTCCTTCACAGCGGGGGTGAAAAATTGTAACAGTGGCGTCTCTTCTTTCGCAGCTAAAGGAAACTTTCAAGAGAACACAATAAAACTGTCACTCCGACCGTATACGTCGTTATACGATATCGTTGTAGCTCGCATCGAAAGCACCCGCGAGAACGTTAAAAAAAAAAGAAACGAAACAAGACAGTACGTGTCTTGCTCGACACGTGTGTGTATCGACGCCGATATTATTCGTTACTGGTGTAAAAACGCGGGCGAAACGTGGTGTAGAAACTCGTGCGCGCGAACGAATAAGTGAAGGGAGAATAAGAAATGATTCCGTGTTTCCTAGCACGAATCAACCGGCTCTTCGTAGAGATCGACAACACAGACGAGATGTTATATACTTGTCTTCTCGTGTTTAACGATATATGTCGTTGTGTTGTTGTCGCGCGTACGTACAATGCTTCTCTTCAGTCTGCGTGTTACTGAACTTGAACTTGGCACTTTCTTTTGACGCGAGTATATACCCAGTACTCTCTCTCTCTCTCTTTCTTTCTTCCTCAGTGGAAATTTGTCGGGGAGTTTATATTTGTGCGTCCGGTTTGTATTCCGATTCAATGTTTACAGGAGAACCTCCCAAAACTGACTGAGACTACCGCTGATCGAGAGTCGCCGCTTGTGCTCCGGCGAACGAGCATATAGACGGGTTACTCCGTAATACCGCCGCACCGACCAATCACGTCGCTTCTCGCGCGTCCCGTAAGAGGGGGATCTCGACGTGGCAACCGTGCGCGCGTGCGCCTCTTGCAAACGCGTTCCCCCGGCTCACGTGAAGTTGTCCTCTCTTCTGTCGGCGCGCGGCGGCTTTCGGCTGTCGCAACGTTCAACCGCGTTTTTGCGCCCTCCGAAAGAAGGCTCCTATTGGGCAGATTTAGAGGGTAGATTCGAGGTAATGTCGCATCCCCTGCCACCCTACTCTGACAAAATGCAGGCTTCGACGTAGGCGATGGACGGCGCTCGACTCTACGGGAGGGAGTATAAAGTAACCTTTTTCATTAATCATTATGTGCAAGGGCAAGAGGGCCCTCCCTTCTTTGGAATCAGTAAACAATTAGGATTTGCCTCTCCTTGTGAATAAACACTGGAATTTATTTGCAGTTTTATTTAATATAAAAATAATAATATATTAAAATAATAAGAAATATGAATTCAGAAATTAAAAAAAAGAATAATAAGAAACCAAAAAAGTTTTAATCATGCCTCTTCCTGGAAAAATTCCTGCGGACGCCCACGATTATATGTATACCCTTACTTCGCTTTTCTCGTTTCTTGGAATATTAATTAAGAGGCTTGGAATTATATAAGCCTTTTTATGAAACAGTAATAAATTATTCGAAGATATTCACCGATGTATACAAATACATTATTAGTTTCCAACTTTATTTAGATTCAAAATTAGATGTATTTAATGTTGAATGTACTTTTACATATCGCATTTTTTTTATTTTTCAGAAAAAATGCATCTTAATCAGAATGATCCTCTTTAAACATAATGCAAAGATCGTTGAAACATTGATATCACATTTGATCAGTATCCAAAATAATAAATAAAACGCTCCGAAAGAATAAATCCGAGCTGAATGTAGCTATGAAATTATATTATTATTTAATGCAATTTAATTATTCTAGAGTCTTAAAGGTTCAATGAATCGAGCACACATAGGTAGTCAACAGCATGAATTAATTTTATCTGCGTAAAATAAATCGCAAATTCTGAGCAATAATTGTCTACGTTAGGTTAAGGCTTCATTTCGGTTTTTTTTGTTATCTATATCCGTTATGATTTTACAGTTACACATGCTGCTAATAATACAATCTTTTGTAATTTTATAACAATCGATTCATTATTGAGTGTGACACAGAAATTGTTAGAAATAATTAATGAAAATATTATAATTGCAATATGAACAATTATTTTAATTTTTAAAAATAAAACTAGGGAGAATGTGTGTGTAAAAGAAAGAAAGAGAGAGAGGACAAGGGTATTTGTATAAAATGTATTACACAATTATAATATATAATCAGCATATGCAGCATCACAATTATTATCAATATGAAAAGAATGTTTTTTGAAAAATATAATTAATATTGTTAATTATTCCTCTATGATAAGTTATTTGAATTTTATTATTAATTAATTATCAATATATTTTATATTTTACATTTTAAAAAATTAAAAAGTTAAATAAATAAAATTAAAAATTAAAATATTTTATTTTAATTATACAAATATGTATAACGAAAACATATTAAAGCAATATTAATTTAGGGGAAACTGTTATAATGTTTTATTAATAGTTACTATATATTTTTCCTTTCTAACTGGCATAAATTTATTTATAGAATCATGCATACCAACGACATCGGTCAGGATCGAAGAGGAAGTAACATTTCGCAAAGGGAAAGCCGGAAGTTCAGCCGCACGACTAGGAAGTTAAACTTCCACCAGTTTCATAGAGGCGCAATGTCAAGTCCTGATTAAAGGTCAACCATTGAATGAAAGTTTCGTCTATAAGGTAAGTGATAAGATAAAGATTTATCTTTTCTTTACATATAGATATATAGATATATAGATATATATTTTTCCCTTTCTTTTATCGTTTCCTATGAGAAAAGAAACAATTTATGGAAAAAATAATTTATAATTGAAGAAAGCTATTTTAATTCTTAATCATTTAATCAATTAAAATTTTAAAAGAAAATAGTTCTTTTATTTGAAAGAAAAATAATAATTTAATTAGAAATACTTTAATAAATTGGAAATCATATATATCTCGAATATCAATGCCCCGAAAACTCGGAAGCTCGATTAGTGACGAATTAAAAATAATTTATTAGTCACGCAGGAAAATTTAACTATTTATCGCGGATCTAATCAGTCGTGCACGACAGGCACAAAGTCTGACTCTTGTCTAATTAAGGAGTATCATGGTATGCTCTGTAACATATGGGATTATGAGGGTGAACTGTCGAATCTTTAGCGAGGTGTTTTCAACCCTGAACAGATTCTCATGCCACTAAATATAACAGCTAATGGGAGTCAGTTTTCGTCATGATGGCTGAACTATATACAGAAATATCAAACATGCGGGCTCTTTGTGAAGGGCGTGAGAAAGAGAAAGAGAAAGACCCCCCCGGCTAGATCTATAATCGTATATATTTATTAAGCGTAAAATTTTCAGATTAATTTTAAAAAATGTTGATTGTATTTCTATTATTTTCGGTTCATTTTTCATTTAATTCAATTTTTTTGAATAAATATTTTTGACGTGTAAACAATAAACACAGTAATGTATATGTTAAGATTTTATTTAAAATATTTATGAGAAATTATAAAATATTTTATATTATATATTATATACTTCTCTTTTTTGATACATCTGAATTTTTTAAATATATATCAACATTTAATAATTTATACTTTTGCATCAGGAAAATAATATTTCAGCAATTTATAACACAATTCTAAACATGTGTTACTATTTTTAAATGTTTAACGTTATTAAAATTAAAAGCTTATTGTAACATTATGATAGAATCGCAAGTATTCAATGATTCGCATTTCATGATTCTTCACAACTTCGCTAATCTTTTTATTCTGAGAATATGATAAAATTAAACTATATGATTAATGATGTAAACAAAAGGTATTTTACGTATTAGAGACAAATTTCATCATTGATTATTTTGTCTTCTATTAACATACCTGACTATAATTAGCAGAGAAATCTTTTTTCTTTACAACTTTTTACAACCGATCCAATAATATATAAAATAAGTATACATAAAATTGAAATATGCGAAAATATGCATGAACGGAATAATTTTGACATAAAGATAATCTTGTACACATATCCGACACGTTTCAAAATTTACTAAAGACAAAAAAATATGTATGTATAGTGCAAAAATAAGTAAAGATAATAATTAGTTGAGAGTGTTCTTAGCCCATGCACCGTATACATATGTATCCATTATCATGGGAATACGCAAGTATTATGAGAAAGCACGTGAAAAGCGCATGGGCGTACGCATGTGGTACGCAGAGAAACGTTTCTCTCAAAGCTATAAGGACCTGATGTTTGCTTGCAACATCACGTCTTGCACTGCTGTCTCAGACGCAAAAGAAATAGACGAAAAGAAACACAAGCAATGAGAAAAAAACAGTCGTATTTAATTTTGCATGATTCTGTTTATCTCGGTGTTGTGCATTTCGGCGCATAACTTTCGGTTGAAGTAAAGGTTATTATTATTCCAATAATGATTATAGTTTGATAGGATTTTGGCTTTGGCAAATATGTAATAAAAAATAAATAACAATATAATAAATATAATATTATACACAGGCAGAACTGTTTTCAAAATGGAAAGCATTGTTTATTAATCATTTAGATGTATTTTTAGGCGTGTATTTTAAGATAATCCGTGCTGTCTATAAATTTCTTGATGACAAAGAAAGCGAAGGTTAAAGTGGGCACGCTGGAAATGTCACATGCAGAGTATCATATGACGTCACGCGGTTTTTTCCTTGACAGATCTTGTATCCAAATACGCGTAAGTGAACTTTTCACTTTCTTTGTTCGACTCTCTCATTGCTGACGTCACTTGCAGTCCTAATGATGTCCTGATGATGCAGTTCTATATAATGATGACGTGTTAGAAACACGTCATCTGAAGTTTTTATTGTTGAATATTTGATAACGTCATTTTTTTGTCGAATAAAGCACGTCACAGCTATATCGGAATGAGTCAGACAATCATGCGTCTATAGATACTCTCTGGAATTCATTTTAATATTATTATTAGATTTTAATATATATGTATGTATATATATATATATATATATATATATATATATACAGAGAAAATCTCTTAAAATTTATTACCCTGAAAATCATGGTATAATTGTGGGACAATATGATATTGGAAGAATTTTATGAGTTTCTTTGATTAAATATTTTTATTACAATAAATTAATTAAAATATTAATATCTACCATAATAAGATATAAAATATGTTGATTGATTTTACTATGTACATAGTAAAATTTAATATATGCATATTAAATTTTTTTACCATGATTTTTAGGGTAAATTTAAAGAGAAAATTCTCTCTGAAAGAAAAAATATGTATATATTGTTATACAGTTCTGTATATATTGTTCTGCAGTTATTTGTATCGCTGGGTTTTTCCTCTTTTGTATGCAATTCTTTTGTTAGACTATACTTTTGTTATAATACAAAGATTTTTTTGGTTATTCTTTGAAGAAAGAAGGTTTATGTGAATAGGAAGAATAATTCTACAATGATTATGTGGCAAAGAGCTGAACTAAAATGTATAATTTTATAGATTTTTATGGTCAACATGATAAAAGAATTTTATTTGAAATAACTAGTCACGTACATGCTTTAACAGTATCTTTTCAAGAAGATATTATTGTATTACATTATTATTCGATATTATTAATGATTGAGAAGAGAGAGAAAGAAAAGTATATTATTAAATATAAATAAATAATTAATTTTTTTAGAAAAAATATAGTATGTGTCTAATACACATATAATATATATAATATAATATGTAGTATAAATAAAACTTATGTATATCGCGATTATATAATCTTATTAATATGTTTGATAACATAAGGAAAACACAATGTGAAAATGTCACATGTTGAATATAGGTGTGATTCAACGAACATATTTTTCTCTTTTCTTCGTCAAAGCAGTGCGAGATACGTGGGATACACAGAAAAGTCATGGTTGCGATAAAAATTTGTACATTCAAGTTATGTAATTAGAAAATCGCGAGGTAAAATATCACGATGAAAATGTCACAGGGCGAACAAGCTGCAAAAGAAGCTATACTCAAGTCGTGGAATTAATCAATACAGATCCTGCATCATATTATAGCGTTACATCATATATATGTAGGTGTGTAACAAAAAAAAAAAAAATTGTTAATTTTGTCTAAATCATTCTTGGAACAAAAGATACTTGTATGATATCGAAACTGCTATTAATATCGGCGGTTCTTATTGAAAATATTCTTTATTATGTGCAAAACATAATGCAGCCATTATGTAATTAAAGCTTATTCCGTAAATCGGGGACATAAAAATTATTCAACACACACTTTTTTACGCTTCCAAAATATACTGTATTTTCCTGGAAAATTTTCAACTTATTTAAGTACCGTCTTAAGTACTTTCCGGCTAATATTTTCGGTAAACTGGCGCCTGCGTTGATGCACAGGTACCTGCATCCGTAGATCGCAGATCGATAGATTGGAGCGGAGATCGTTCCAAGAATTGCAAAGGCCAAGGCAACGACACAAGGCGGGCAGGTAGACATATAACAACACGGGTAAATGCACGCGGCTAAACCGGACGGAGCGGAAAGGTAGCTCGGGTAACGTTGGCTTGAACGTTGGGGCAGCTCTCTCGGAGTTTGCTTTGCGAAAAAGTTGTCGTTATTGGTGCGCATTAGTGATTTCTTTCCATGCGCTGTGAATGGTATCTCCTAAAGCTCCACTTGCGATAGAACATTCGCAACAACCTTTCTCGGACATATTTGAGAAGAATATCGAAATGCTAACAAGTCAATATTTATTCATTTCTAATATTTATATAGATATTTCTGTTTGCGAATCTGTGTGTCTTTACGTGTTACTGGCAGTTTTTTTTTAGAAGTGAAGAGAAATGTATAAAACTTAGGAATGTTAGATAAGTTAGAATACAGAAAATATATGTTTAACAAATGTTAAATTATGTTTTTAGGATCTTTGACAATAAAGGTCTTAAAAGAAAGACAGTTTGATTATATAATTTCATATGTTTTTTACTTATAAATGTTAAGATGCTCGAATAATAAATTTATAATAGTAGTTATTGAAAATATGAATAATAAAATAATAAAATTATAAGTTACAATATTAAGTATATATATTTTATACCATTACAAGAAGCTTTTATATATAAAATTATTTATATATACTTAGTTAAAAAATATACTTTTAAAACTAATTTTTTTTGTAGGTGTACTTTTTGAATAACTTAATAAATTATTAATAATTAATAACATTTTATTTAAAATTAAATAAAAGAAAAAGAGAGAGAAACCAATCATATAGCTATATAATATATAGTATTAATGCTATTAGAAAGTACTCTGGAGAAATTGAATGTTACGTGGAATATCGAGTAAAAATTGATAACATTTATCTTTATTCTATATTATCATTTACAAATTGAAAGGTGCCGTTTTGACATATTTTTTTATGATATTTGTCATCTTTGTTAGCGTAGCCTTTACATAATTTGTTTAGTTTACGTAGCACGTAGCGCCGGATTCACAGTCAATAATGGCGCATAAGTGCGTAAGTACTTACATATATCAATGGTTTTTGCGCTCTTACTTTCTTATTCTCTGACGTTTCCACGGCCAGGCGCCATTCTGATCGGAACTTTCACATTTTACATTAATCTCTTAAATTAATGACAACTGTACGTTACATAAATTGCTATCACTTCTCTTATAGTTGCATTTACAGTTGCAATCTACAATATGATTAATAATTTTTATATTGCCAACATTGTTGAAGTAGCGTTCTTTGTGTGTAAAGCTGGCGTCTGATTTCGTGGAAATTCATAAATATAGTTAAGAGTTCTGACTTTATTTTCAATAGTTCTAAAATTCTTGATAGTTTAAACAAACTGTAAAAAATATTAAGATTGCTCTAATATAATGTATTTTTTTTTGTTACAGATAGCATTGTTGATAAACTGCGCGCGAATTCGCGAGATACTCGAGTGTCAAACGCTTCGTGCAATTATAGTTTTCGCATCGTTTTTTTCTTATTGTACAATATACGCGAAATACGCGTGCAATTCACGCAACGTGTCGGGAGTGCCGTATAAAGTGTCGCGCGTCGGGAGTGCCGTGTAAAGTGTCGGGCGATCGTAATTATTCGTATTTTCGCGAGTGTTGTGAGTGCTACGAAGGACCAAGAGAGGAGGAGGAGGCCTGGGGAGGCATCGGGCAACAGCGGGGCAACTGTGAGGTATGCAAAATAAAAAATTGAATTTCAAAATTTTATAAAGTTACAAAAAAATCATCTCACAATTTATCAAAATTTTTCAACTTGTAGAAAAATTTCCAAAAACTTTTTAAACGTTAAAAATACAATACATGCAAATTATATATAAAGGAAGCAAAAATATATAAAAAAATATATATGTATATATATATATATATATATATATACACACATATGCATGTATATACATAATTTGAACATCTTGTTTTCAGATCAATGTACTGTGTACTACAACTCCGCGATTGCACGTGTCGGCGATCGGTGAGTGAGAAATTGTTTATTTTATAATGTAAAATATATATTGTTTCTTCAAAAATTATTATAAACTATTTATAATAATCATCTTCTAAAATTATGCGTTTCGATAATACGAATCGACTTGTGAACGCGGATTATTCCGCTCATTGATGCCAATGGGTTAATGACCGCATGCAACAGTAAAGTAACAAGAATAATGTCAGCTAGAGGACTGGAGGTCATTATTCTATTCCAACGCTTCAACGTGGCCAGTTTTCCATTACAAACATTAGCGATTTTCACGAAGCATAATGTCTTTTTTTTTATTCTGAGCATTACTAACCAATTAAAAATAATTTTAATTTAAAAAGTTCTCGCGGGTAAAAAAATATCGCGATATATTTAAGAAAGTTTGCGCCAACTGTATTATTTTATGGAACATCGCTCGAAAAACTCCATAGTAATTTCTAATGAGTTAAAGTGCAACAATCAGCTATGATTGCCAGGTCTTGGAAGGGCGCTATCGTGTTGCAATGAATGATCGACGATAGCGTCGTACGGGGCTCCAAAGTCATTGCACTTTGAGCCGTGATGACCGAGCCGAGCGACTCATATCGGCGACGTACATATATGCACGCATGACCCTCTGCACGTTTTCTTACAGGCGACAATAGTTTCGTATTTGTCAGAGCGACCGCCTATCCCTGCAGCACGCAAACGCAGCGCGAGTTGTATTGTACGCAGTCGCAAATTTTCTTCCTATCCTGTGCATTGCACGAATCGTTACGCCTATTGGCCTCCGTGAAATGTACGCGCATTATTATTATAGACAGGATTATTAAAAAATATATTAATGTTTTATTACTATAACAATAAATATTATCGAACATCTTTTCGAAATCCAAAAATCGAATCTCAAAATTTTATAAAATTAAAGAAAATCATTTCACAACTTATCGAAATTTTTCAACTCATAGAAAAATTGCCAAAATCTTTTTAAACGTTAAAATACAACGTATAAAAATTATTAAAAATCTGTTTTGCTTGAAATTTTTTTATTACAAAAATGATATTAAATATGAATTAAGCATTCGATAAATATGTAAAATTAAAATAAGTTTTATCACATAAAGGACAAAAATCTAAAGTATATTAAATTGTAATTAAGTTTTATTTGAAATAAATTTTGATAAATTATTTCTTAATGTAAATAATCTCAAAGATAACATTTATTTTAAACTAAATGTGATGAAATTTATTTTAATTTTACTTATTTATATCTTCCATCAAAAAATTTATATAATCATAAATTATCTGTACATATCAGTACATATCAGTAATGAAATATCTGCGTAATCAAAATAGAAATATTGAATCAAAGAAGAGAAAGTGAACTAAAAATTCCAGAAATAGTTGTCTTTGTACTTTTTTTATCTAATTGGTATTAGTATATTTATCAAATATTTTTATACATTAACACATGACACATTTGATGTGTTTAACTGAAACATACAACTTAATATAAAAACAGGAATAATATTAGTATATATTTGATATAATATACGTTTGTGAATATTAACATAAAACCCTCTACGATCAAATAGTTTTAGGTATTAATTAACATAAGTCCCCCTTTCGTATCTTTCTTTCCTTCTTCATTTTTTATACCATGTTTGTCTTTACATATGAATTTCGGACGGTCTTATAATATCTATCTCTCCTGTTCCCTCGCTCCAAAGGATCTCGTCATGCAGCGATCCGCGTCATGTCTTCCATTCATTAGCACTTGCAACGTTCGCAGACAGCTCATGTTTAACCATCTTGAATTGTCGACTTTTTCATGAATGTATTCTTGGTATTTTTCAAGACTCGTAGGCATATATTGCTGCATAAGAAAAGAGAGAGAGAGAGAGAGGAGATGAGAGATAGATATAGAAATTAGAGATAGACCCCGCCATGCACTTGGTTAAACAACGTAGTCTCTATAGGGCTTTACGTTTATTGGCGCTTCTAATTCGGGGGCGGAAGTGGTCGAAAGACACAACGGCAAAAACAGACCTCACGGATTAAAATAGTCTGTCAGAGCGACTGGCTTAAGCCGCTTTACATTGATAATTAACACAACTCCTGGGACCCGTAAAGTCTACCCTTAAGTGTCCATATTCTAAAATATTCTTCGCTGAAAAATTGCGATATCGTATTATCATTATGTTTAAATTATTTTATGGAAAATGTACGTGGATATATAATATATCGCCGAGCAGTCGTATATTCAAATTTAAAATTTTATGCGCAAAATCTTGTTGATATAATTTCATTTATTTTGTTATAATATATTTATTTTAATATCGCGTCTTTTAACTCACAAGCTGCAAACATATTACGTGACTGGACGTAGCTATTAATTAAAATTCGTGTTATTAATTCTAGCGTTAATGAATACACATTAAACCGGTTTTTAGTACATTATAATATCCGGCTAGTATGCTATCTATCTCTACGCCTTTCCAGCGGCGACGTACTCGACGTGTATCTACAAGATAAGGAACCCTTTGACCTTCTACATCATGATTCTATAATGTAAAATTATTTTTTCTCTTTGGATCCTTCTAGTAAGATCCGAGGCAACGCCTTCTATTCAACCGGATCTTTCTAAAAGAAGCTTTTTAAAAGAAACTAAGAAACCTCTACAAACTAAAAAAGTATTATATTAAATTAAAAGCAAAGCAATTTTGATTTTTTTTAATTTACAATTTGTTCCGTAAAATCTGAATTTAAAGTTATATTACACAAAAAATCGCGGGTAATTAAAAATTATTCGATACTTTTATTTTTAATGCATTTTTTTTTTTTTTAATGATTGTGTTAATAACTGATTATAAGTTTTATTAATAAGACATAACAATTAATAGTAAAGCAGTATTCTATCAAATATATTGCCAATCTTGGCAATTGTTGAATTAAAGCGTTTCGTTATAGAATAACGATCTAAATTTTCGCGAGTATTTTTTGAATAACACGCCATATCACATAACATAATTATACTTCTCGGTAATAATTCATTAAGCTCTATGACTCTTCCTGATAAACTCTGCTGTATCACTTTCATTCGAAACACGACACGGTTCTTCTTGATAAATCGTTATACTATCGTTATGTCTCTAATCAACTTCTATATGTAGTTTGCAGTAGCCTAGCTTTATAATAAGGTTATCTAGAGGTCCTTTTCAAGTTTTTGGATAGAAAATGGACAACGGGGCTAAAAAATTTACTTGTGCAAGAAATGATTTACTGTTGAAAAATGTGAAAAAGATTAGGAATAATCAATTAAGTTGAGCAATAAAAATAATATTGTTATAAGATTATTGTGAGCGTATATCTATTATATTTTATCTAATATTGTCTTATCTAATATTGAATATCTTATCTAATTTCAATAAGTGGCGCAATCTAAAGTTTAATATTTATCAATGTGATTAAGTAAAGAAGCAAAGTCTCACAAATATGTTGAAATTTTGATTGTGCAAGCAAGTTACAGGTAAAACTCATAGTCTCAAAAATCCACGTCATATATAAAAAATATTATTTAATAAAAATTATTGTGTAGTAACGTTCATAATTCCAATTTCATTTCAAATTTTTCCAGATTAAAAAGTTTCTTATAGATAACAGTAACACGTATAATAACTAATAATTATTATCGCAATCAGAATGACTGAATCTATAATTATATCTTTCAAATAGTGATTACTATAAACGAATGAATTAATTGCAAACACATGTTCATGAAAAGAAAACTTTTTAGTATATATGTATATAATCGTTTGAGACTTTCTAGCGCCAATTAACGAATTTAAAACTCGCGTATCATTGGTAGTCTCGCGTGAATGTAAACAGTTAAACGATCAGAAGAGATGGCTATGTTTGATCCGGAAGTGGGCCAGCAGACTCTTCCGATGCCAGAAAGAGCCAACCACGTGTTCAATTATTTCTGTTCGCACCGTAGAGAGAAAGGGAAAGTCAATCAGGTGAAAGTCACTTGCCAGGATAGTTTTGCCTCCATGCATCCGACAGATGCTTATGTAGCAAGAGTATGCGGTTTTAAAGATATGTTATACACCTTTTTTATTTTATTTTTTTATCGTATCTTGGTACATTTTATCAATTTTATCAATCGATAAAAATATTCTATATAATCTTTATACAATTTCCTGTAAGAGAGATTTTTAACAAATTGAGAATTAACTAATTTAACTCTCGCACAATTGCCTGATCGCTAACTATATGTAGCAAATATCGGACCCATTTGGATCCATAATAAAATTTCAATTTTGTGTTTTCCAGTAAGAAATAAATAGGATTTATGTATATTAGATTTTTATCTCGTTAAATTTGTAAATTATTTTTTCTTAATTATATTATTTAACTATAAGATGATATTACATTATAATTAAAGAGAAAAAAATAAGCAAAATACAAGTAAATAATATTTCTTCTTTTTCATAATAAAAAGAGAACCTAAAGCATCTCTTTTATCTATTGTATTAAAATGGACATTAAAAGTTTTTAAAGCAATTTACGGATCCACAAATTATAATAGCACCCGTTAGTCAAAAATTAGTTGATTATCTAATCGTGACCTATTTAATAGTAAAATTATTCTGATGCAGATTTCCCGATCGGTTTTTTATATTCCTCGATATGTTGACGCGTCACCCTACTTTTGTCAATTTCAACGATAACATCGGCATGTATAATACATCCGGGTATTCTTATCATCGATGCACCCGCGTGCGACATTAGTTGGTTGAACAGACGGCTGTTTTCATAAACGTATTCTGTATTTTGGAATAATAATGAGAGCGATTATTGCATTATTGGTTCGGAGAAAACAGGAATCGTCGTTTATTGAAACGGAACGAGTAGGTAGTGGAGCTTTGCAGAAAAGAGTATGCGCTCGCCATTGTAACATTGACCTAAACTTGCGATGCTAATTGCGCCGTTCTATCTAATGACTCGGTGAA